AGACTCCATGTCACACGTGCGCACACACACACACACAGAGACTCCATGTCACACGGACACACACACACAGAGTGAGACTCCATGTCACACGCACACACACACACACACAGACTCCATGTCACACGCGCACACACACAGAGCGAGACTCCATGTCACACGCACACACACACGATGGACTCCAGCCTGAGCAAGAGTGAGACTCCATGTCACACACACACACACACAGACTCCATGTCACACGCGCGCACAGACACAGTGAGACTCCATGTCACACACACACACACACAGAGACTCCATGTCACACGCGCGCACACACAGTGAGACTCCATGTCACACACACACGCAGAGTGAGACTCCATGTCACACACACGCACACACAGTGAGACTCCATGTCACACACACACACACACAGAGTGAGACTCCATGTCACGCACACACACACACACAGTGAGACTCCATGTCTCACACACACACAGACACACACACACACACTAACAAACCGGCAGAGATTCATTCTCACGGCTCTGGAGACCAGAAGCCTGGACTCAGCTGGGCTGGTTGCTCCTGGAGGCTCTGAGGGCGCCTCGGTCCAGCCCCGCCCGGCACCTGCTGGGCTGTGGACACTCGGCTCCCATCTCTGCCTCCTCCTGTGCGTCCTCGTCCTGTGGGGACAGAGTTGTGGGACGTAGGGCCCGCCCGAGTCATCCTGCACGCACCTGTCCCGGGACCCTTCACCTGACCTGTGCATCTCCAAAGCCCTTTTCCCAGTGAGCGCACACTCGCGGGCGCTCAGGGCTCGGACCCGGCATGTCTGTGGGGTCTCCCTTCAGCCCACGGCAGGAAGCGTGGATGCAGAACCCAGGGGTTTCGGAGTCGGTGTCCGTGCTTAGGCAGCAGGTGAGGCTCCGTCTCAAAATTAATAATAAGAGCAACCAGCAGAGGTTCCTTCTGACGCCTCCGGAGGCCAGAGATGGTTCTGGAATTCTGAAGCCGCCCCTGTGGCTGGAGTCCCGGAATTCTCTGGTCCGGACACTCGGCCGTGAGGCCACCCCTGGGGCTCCCCGGCAGGACCTGGGAACGCAGCTGTCTGACCGCGCAGGTCCAGGCGGGCTCCGGGCGCTGACGCTGTGGTCTCCGCTGGCAGGTGCGGACGAAGGACGTGCTGTTCGAGAGCATCAGCCACCTGATCGACCACCACCTGCAGAACGGGCAGCCCATCGTGGCGGCGGAAAGCGAGCTGCATCTGCGCGGCGTGGTCTCCCGGGAGCCCTGAGCCACGTGTGTGGCCGCCACGGCCGCCGGCCTCACTCTATTTCCCAGGTGCTTTTCTAGCTTGAAAATTGAGACACGTTTCCCTCGTGTAGAGCACGACGCAGGGGCCTTCGGCATCCGAGCCGTGCAGCTGCCACCTGTCGCATTCCGGAACATTCTGTCAGCCCCGAAAGAAGCCCCATCCCCACCAGCCGTCACTCCCCGGCCCTCCCCGGCCTCGGCACGCACACACCCGACCCCCGTCTCTGTGGGTCACCCTGTCCTGGACATTTCAGGGAAATGGGATGGCGGGGCCTCCCGTGTCTGTGTCTCTTGCCGAGTGTGACATCCTCAAGGTGAGTCGCTCAGTGGCTGGGTCTGAGCCTGGCCCCTTTTCACGGCTGGAGAACGTCACACTGTGTGGTGGGACCTTCTGTTGGTCAGTTCAGCCGCTGAGGGGGGCAATGGGGCTGCTTCCACCTTCTGGCCACCGTGAGCCTCCGTGGGCAAGTTTTGTTTACCCCTCAGTTAAAGCGGTTCTTCCGCCTCACCCTCCTGAGTAGCTGGGAATACGGGCACGCGCCACCACGCCCGGCTAACTTTTGTATTTTTAGTAGACAGGGTTTTTCCATGTTGGCCAGGCTGGTCTCGAACCCCTGACCTCATGATCCACCTGCCTCGGCCTCCCAAAGTGCTGGGATCATAGGCCTGAGCCACCGCGCCCGGCCACGTCACCTGATCTTTACGGAACCCTGCTTCGTGCTGGGTGTCCACGCCCCCCTCCCAGAGGATTGGTGGACCCCACTGGAGAGTATGGGGCGAGGTTGGGGGGGTGCTGGGCAGTTAGGGGCTGGCGTGTGAGCCCAGGCAGGGAGAAGACCACGCCTCAGGCTGGGCGGGGGAGCCTCGGGCCTCCACTTTTGGGGCTGGGGGTGCCCATGGTAGGGTGTGGACAGGGGAGGGCCAGGCAAGTCTGCGTGATTTTAGGGTCTCTCCTGGGGTGGGGTGGGGTAGGAGAGGCTGCAGCTGTAGGGCTGAGGGCATGGCGGAGGGAGGGCGCAAGAGGAGGGGTCTGTGGAATTTCCCCAAGGGCTGCGCTTCTGGGCCAGGTCGGGCTGCTCTCGTCCCCATGACAACAGCCTCCTTCCTGCCTCCTCTCCTGGGCAGCACCTCCCCCACACAGCCGGCCTCCCCCCCGGCCCCCAGCCAGGCCTCGGGCTGCAGGAAGGGGGGTTCCGGTCCTGGGAGTGGCTTTGGGGACCCAGAGGGGGCTGAGGCGGAACCGAGGCCTGTGGCCGCCGTCTGGGCCCTGACCTCGCCTTCTCTTTCTGCCCGCAGGTTCCTGTCCTCAGCCCGGCTCCTGCCTGTCGTGGCCTTGGGGCTCTCAGCCCTCCCCTGGATCCTGGTCAGGCGGGAGCCTCTCCTTCCTCCGCATGAGCCTCAGGCATGGTCCTTCCTCCAGCCGCCCAGGGCTGGGCAGAGCTTCCTGACGGCCGGGGCCCCTGCCCACCCCTCCTCCGCCTGGAGTGAGGGTGTTCATACCAAAGACGAACCGTTTCTCGCCTTTAAAGAAAACGTCTCCATAAGCGGCGGCTGCCTGAGGCCCGTGGGGGCCCCTCTGGCCAGGCGGGTTTGGTCTAGCGCCCGGAGCGAGGGGCTCCCAGGACCCCGTGGAGGAGGCGGGCTCTGGGCCTGGCTGGGCTCACTTTTCCCGCCCAAGGAACTGGGCGCATAGTTGTCTTTGAGGGGGGACAATTAAGGTGCTTTGGGGTTCTCAGGCTGGGACAGGGGCTGATGTTGAAGTGGGGGCAGCCTTGGGGTCACCTGGGATGACGGGGGCAGCCAGGCCCCTCCAAGACAGTGGATACGGGGCGGCCGTGAGGCCCCCATCCCCCCTGGGAGCAGGAGGAAGGACGTGGCTGCCGGCCTGGGATGTGCCCACCAGTTTCCCCCCCTGCCCTCCCAGCGGTGGACCGAGACTGGACATTTGCAACCTGGGAGTGACCACAGGACAGGGGCCCACCTGCCCCCCGGGGGCCCTGTGGGGCTGAGGCTGGGAGGCTCCTCCCAGGTGCAGAGCTGATGGAGAGGCTCACAGGGACCACGTCTGGCTTCCCTGGGGGCCTGGACTTGGGGAGAAGGGAGGTGGCGCCATGCGTGTGCTCATGCCTGGCAGGTTGTGGGGTGGCCCCTCTGCCCAGCAGCCCCCACGCCTCTTTTGGTTACCTCTGTTTTATCCAGGATAAAACACACTCAAACTTCTCCATTAAACAGTTCTCCCACCTCTTTGGAGACACTGTTTGATCACCAGAAAGCCACACCTCTCTCTCAACACAGCCCAATGCGCCGTCGGGCAAGAGCTTTGCTTTCTTCCCCACGATGCCCCCAGTGTGGCCCCAGACGGGGCCTGACCCTTCTGTCATCCCAGCGTCTGTTCTGTGTCTCAAGACACCCCCTTGATGCCCCTGCTCCTGACGCGCGGCTTCATGCTCAAGCACGCCAGCCTCCGTGTCTCAGACCTGCCATGTTATATCAGCCTCTGCCTCCAAGAGCCCCCCCAGCTTCTCCCACAAACACAGCATCTTCCCAGGGGAGAGGTTCCCAACCTCACCATGTCCCTGCTGGCCCACGTCTCTCAAGGGCCCAGGATCTCTGACTGCTTTCTCTGCAGTTGGCAGGCCCTCCCTGCTGCTCTGGGGGACAGGTCTAGTAAGGGTGTGTGTGGGGAGTAAAAGCCACTCTGGTTTGTCCTTAACCGGGACTGGAGCCTTCAAAAGGCAAACCCAGAAGGGCCTTTGATGATGCGTCTTATTTCAGAGCTGTGGAGAAAGAGCTGCCCATCCATCCTCCCATCTACATGTCAGTAACCCACCTGTCCATCCATCCATCCATCACCCATCATCCATCTATCAATCAATCAGTACCCCACCATCCATCCCCCATCTACACATCCACCAATAACCCACTCATCCATCCATCTCTGCATCCACACACCCATCAGTCATCCATCCATCCCCCGTCTACACATCCATCAGTAATCCACTCATCCATCCGTTCATCCTCCCCCCATTTACACGTCCATCAAGTCATCCACCTACCCATCCCCCATCTACACATCCAGCAGTAACCCACTCATCCATCCCCCAGCTACACACCCATCCGTCATCCATCCATCCATCCACCCATCCATCCATCTGTCACCCATTCATCCCCCACCTGTACACCCATCCGTCATCCATCCATTGATCGATTCACCCACCTGGTCCCCCATCCATCTGCCTGACCCTCCATCATTATTCTACCCATCCGTTTTCCATCTGTCCATCCCTCCACCCATCTGTCAGTCATCCACCTGCCTCTTGATTGTTCATTCCATTCGCTGCTCCCTTCCCCCCCCCAACATCTTTCAGCATGCTTGCGTTGAGTGCCAGGAGCCCCGGTGGGCAAACAGTAGTGACAAAGACAGGTCTGCCCTCATGGAGTTAATGGCCAAGGGACGTTCATCAGAGATCACCACTCAGCTGTGGAGTGAGTGAGGTGGCTCACGCCTGTCATCCCAGCACTTTGGGAGGCTGAGGCGGGTGGATCACCTGAGGTCAGGAGTTGGAGACCAGCCTGGCCAACATGTCAAAATCCCATGTCTGCTAGAAATACAAAAGTTAGCTGGGCGTGGTGGTGCGTGCCTGTGATCCCAGCTACTCGGGAGGCTGAGGCAGGAAAATCACTTGAAACCGGAGGCAGAGATTGTAGTGAGCTGAGATCGCGCCACTGCGCTCCAGCTTGGGGGACAGAGCCAGAGACTCTGTCTCAAAAACAAAACAAAAACCCCAAAAACAGCTGTGGAAAGGAGTGAGCCCCGGAGCTTACAGACCCCAGGAAATCCAGCGATATCTTTGTGGGAACAACACAGGGACTGTGATTGGCGGGTGAGCCCCAGGTGAAGAAAGTAGAGTTTTGAGCCGAGCAGACAGCATGTGCAAAGGCCCTGTGGTGTGTTTGGTCAGCACATCCAGGGAGCAGAAGGGTGTCCTGTGTGGCGGAGGTGAGGACACAGCTTGGGGGAGGCCTGGGGCCAGGAACAGCTGCCAGGGGTCTTTGAAGCCCAGGGGTGATGCGCGTGGATTCCCCGTGAGATTTCCCAGTGGGGAGTTGGGAACGGAACAGGAATGGGGGAGGGCAGGGAGGAGGCACTGGGCCAGGGAAGTGCCCGGAGGAAGGACCGGCAGAATCCCAGGATGTGTGGGCCAGAGAGGGTCTACGTGCACTTCACTGATTCCTGCATGCATGCATTCATTCATTCATGGCCCTGGGTCCCCCAGGCCCAGGTTGCCCGTCGATGCCCCACCTCCGTCTGTCCTCTTCCAAGTCCCCATGTAAACAGGACTGGTGCCTGCTGGGACATGCACCAAGAACAGCATGACCTCGGGGTGCTGAGACGCTCCCGCTTTACGGCTGAGGTGACCTCAGAGACCATCCCACGGGGAGGGGGGACGCTCGTTTTGGAGGCCCCCGTCTCCCAGTCCTGTTCTCTGCGCTGGAGGAGCCTGGGTCCCAGGACGCCCGGCTCCTGCCCCTTCCTACCTTTGTACTTCCGATGACTGGAGTCATTAACTCGATAATCGGATGATCCTGGGAGCCTGAGCCTGGAGTGGGAGGCAGGAGAACCTGGGTCAGAGTCAACCTCTGGTGTGCTGTGCAGCTTGCAGGAGTCGCCTCCCTCCCCGAATCAAACACACGGGGAGACGGGAGGATCTCCCGTGGGGGGCCAGGACGCCCGGGGTATCAGGTAGTGCCTTGGAGGGCCAGGACACCTGGGGTACCAGCTAGTGCTGTGGGGGGCCAGGATGCCCCAGGTAACATCTAGCGCTGTGGGGGGCCAGGACCTCCAGATACTGGCTAGTGCCATGAGGGGCCAGGACGCCCAGAGTATCAGCTAGTGCCTTGGGGGGGCCAGGACGCCCGGGGTATCAGGTAGCGCCATGGGGGGCCAGGACCTCCAGATACTGGCTAGTGCCATGAGGGGCCAGGACGCCCAGAGTATCAGCTAGTGCCTTGGGGGGCCAGGACACCTGGGGTACCAGCTAGTGCTGTGGGGGGCCAGGATGCCCCAGGTAACATCTAGCGCTGTGGGGGGCCAGGACCTCCAGATACCGGCTAGTGCCGTGGGGGGCCAGGACGCCCAGGGTATCAGCTAGTGCCTTGGGGGGCCAGGATGCCCGGGGTACCAGCTAGTGCCTTGTGGGGGGTCAGGACGCCCTGGGTAACAGCTAGCGCCGTGGGGGGTCAGGACACCCGGGGTATCAGGTAGCGCCATGGGGGGCCAGGACCTCCGGATACCAGCTGGTATTGACTGAGCCCGCCCTGCGGCAGGCTTGGAGGTCAGCTGGTTCTCTGCGCTCCCTGAGGAATCAGGCTACTCCCCCGTGCCTCAGTGTCCCTATCTGGAAACGCAATGGCCCTCCTGGGCCTTCCCACTGGGCCAACCCGTGATACATGGACCAGCCGGGTCCCTGCTGGGAGCTCACAGACCGTCCTGCTCCTGGGATTGTTTTATTACTACACCACCGTACCTTTTCCTGAGGCCCCCCAGGGTCAGTCATCAAGCTGCCCAGGTGCCCAGGGGCCTCAGCACTGGAGGTCACTACAGGCACTTCATTCTTAAACCACCTTCCAGAGGCCACTGTGGGGCAGCCTTGGATTCGGGCCTGGCTCTGGGAAGCCCAGTGTCCCCGCGGGTGCCCCCCCAGTGGCGGTGGAGACCAAAGCCACCCAGCACGAGGTGCCAGGACTCAGAGCCGAGATGGGCTGGTCGATGCCACCTGGGCCGCCGCCTCCAGCCTGAGCCGGGACCCACAGGCCTCTGGTCTCCGATTCCTGGAGGGCCGTGGTGGGGCTGCTGCAGAGGAAGACAGAAGGTTCTGCTGACCACGAAGAGCTCCCGTTTACCTACCGAGGGGGCAGCGCCAATCAGCCAGAAGGCCCGGCCTCCCTGCCACTGCCCAGCCTGGGGCGGGTCTGTGTTGGTGCACAGGGCAGGTGTGGGGACCCATCCCCGGCACCTTTCGGGCCTGTTTCCCCAGCCCCCAAGCGTGACAGGGCCTGGGGATCGGGTGGGGCTTCTGTCTGAGGCAGGTGTGGTGGGGTCAGGGCTCGGGGTGCTCTCCGGCTGAGTCCTCTTCCTCACCTGTGAAGTGTCTGAGGAAGAATGGTGGAGGCAGTCATGAAGGCTGCTCTAGAACGTCGCACATGGTCATCTGTTGAACCCTCCCTGGAATGCCATGATGCCCTGGGCTGCCGGAGAAGAGGGTCCTGAGGCCTGCCCAGCGTCACACCTCGGGAAGTGTGGGCACCAGGACGCAGGCCCCGACTGAGCAGCCCTGGATTTGTGTCCTTGGCACAGAAACAGGCCTGGTGTCCACCCAGTGCCTTATCCCCCAACCCAGCTGGGAGGAGAGGCTCTGCCCCCACCTGGGCTGCCCGGGGTGCTGGGGAGCGAACCCCAATACCTGGGGCTGGCCCGCCGTCAGGAGACCTGTCACTGCCCCTTCTTTGGACCCGAGCTGTCCCCTTCCCTCCCTGGGCCCTGGTCTCCCTGTCTGCAATGCAGGAGGGTGTTTCTGAGGCCCCCGAGGCCCCTCCCGGCCCGTCCGGCCTGCTGACAGTATTGTTCCTGTGGTGATGCTGTTCCCCCATTTGTTTGGCAAATGTTTCTCGGAGACGTGGCTGGCCTGGGTCCTGGGGAGACTACAGGGATGAGACCTCCAGGACCCTCCTCCCGACCCGGGGCCCAGCAGGGGCTGTGGACGGCAGCCAAGGGTGTTCTTCATGGTGGCAGAGCTGGGGCTTGGGGGCCCTGCCAGGCTGTGGTGGGCAGTGGTGGTGAAGGGGAGAATTCCTCTGTGTCCGCCTCCCTCACAGTTGCTCCAGCACAAAGTGGGGGTTCTTCAGTGTTTGCTGGGTGAACAAGGCTGAGATGGCCTCTCGTAGGGGGTCACAGCTCCTCCGGGCCTCACTTTCCCCTCTGGACGGCATGACCCTAACCCCTCACTGCAAGGGTGCGTGGAGAGCAGGGAGGCCTCAGCCCAGCTCCCTCGTCCTCCCGGACCCTTCTTCTGCCACTGTGGCGGCAGCCGCTCCTCCACCTTGAGCCACATGGAGATGTGGGGACATTCCCAGAACTCGGAGGCTCCTGGTCAATCGATAATTTAATCAAGCACCAGGCGTCCACCGGCTCCGGGTTGGTCCTGGCCATATGTTATCTTGCTAGCTCTGTGCATGCAGAGGCTGGGAGCTGCTTAGCTCGGTTCCAGAAGAGGAAACTGAGGCGGGGAGGGAGAGAAGGAAGCAGTGAAGGCTGGAGCTGGCAGACCACAGGAGCAGCTGGCAGGAGGTGGGTCGGGGCCTCAGGAAGAGGGACCCCGTGGTCTCAGGAACTGAAGGGGAAGCCTGGGCTTGGACTGGTCTTACACCCTTTGGATTTCTCCATGATGAATCACGCGGTGAACCTTTTCCCTTTGCCCTGACCCTCACACTTTCTTTCCTGGGGGATTCCTGCTCCGGGAGTCACCACCCGACAGGTCAGTGCCACACCTGTGTGCTGTGGGCCATCCTGCCCCCAGAATCACCAGGGCTGGGCCACCTCCCGCCTTCCCAGCTGTGTCCCCAGAGGCCAGGGCACTGTCCAGCATCTAGCAGGTGCTCGGGAAACGTTTGTATGTGAGATGAAGGAGCAGCCCCCTTTCAGTCTTCCTGGGCGGCTGCTGAGAGGTCACCCCTTTAGTCAGACCAGCTCTCCTAGCTGTTCCGTCCTTGTCTCTGGAAGGAACCCCCACCCTCCTCATCTACAGGCTGGGGATTGCAGTAGGCCCTGCGTGCCGGGCCGCGCGAGAGTCAGGGACCCACCAGGACGCTGGGAGGCTGGCAGGGAGGAAGGCGGCAGCACCAACGCAGCCGCGTTTGTTGTTGCTGCTGGTTAATTCGTCGTTAGTCGGGAAAGCTCCTCGCCGGGGAAGTGGCCGGCAGCGAGCGGGGTTCTGGGGTTCTGGGGCTCGGGCTGAGCGCCCGGGGTGGCCAGCGGCCGACCGCGACCACCTGCTGGCTTCCCAGCCGCCCCAGTCAGCCCCGGATCCCGGCCAGGCTCCTCCTCCCTGCCACCGGCCTCCGGTGACTGCGGGGAGACGGCGCCACCCCCGTCCCTGGGGCGGAGCGGGCGGGGGCGCGGGCGGCCGTACTAGGAGGAATACGGCGGCGGCGGCGGCGGGGCTGGGCGGTTTCCCGCCGCGGGTGAATGAGTCCGACTGCGCGGCCGCCGCCCGCATCCCCGCTCCGGCCGCGTCCCCCGCGCCAGCCCCGGGAGCAACGCGCCGAGACCCCCGCGCGCGTCCAGCCTCGGGCCGGCACCCCGGGCAGGTGAGTGCGGGGGGGCCCCCCCGTTCCGCGGGGGCTGCCAGGACCCCAACCCCACCCCGAGCTGCGTCGGGGGCGGGCCGGGGGGACCCCGGGGGGTCGGCTCGCTGCGCTGTGGGCCCCAGACCTCCCGCCCCCCCCCCGCCCCCGCCTGGCGTTGCGGTCCCGGGAGAAGCCACAGGTGGGTGGGAGCGGGGGGCGGAGCTGGGACACCCCGGGGGCCACCGCAGCCGCGTCTTCCCCGGGGACTGAGCGCGGAACGCTGTAGAATGGGCGCTGAAACGCTCAGAGCCGCGTCGGGCGGGAGCGCGGCCTCTCCCCCCTCCCCGGAGCTCCCCGGGGAGTCAGAGCCCCCCGCCCTGGGCCTGGGACTGGAAGTTTCGCGGGATCTCTCCGGAAAAGGGAAGGCGAACCTGCCTCGCCACACCCCTGCCCTGGGCCGCAGCGCCCGGGGGACCCCGAGGACCCTGCGCCCCGCCGTCCGGCGCCGCCCCCCCGGAGCAGGTGCCCAGGCCCCGCCGCCGCCCCGCTCCCCTGACCCCGGCCTCTCTCCGCAGGCGCCGCAGCCCCCGGTCCTTCCGCCCCCATGAGAAAAACCAACATGTGGTTCCTGGAGCGGCTCCGGGGTTCCGGGGAGAACGGCCGCGGCGTGGGGGGCGACGCCGGCGACAAGGCCGCCAAGGGGCCGCTGTACAGCAACGTGCTGACGCCCGACAAGATCCCCGACTTCTTCATCCCCCCCAAGCTGGCCGCGGGCCCCGCCGAGGCGGAGGGACAGGCCGCGCTGGGCGCGTCCGCGTCGGAGCAGAGCCTGGCCCCGGCCTCGCCGCGCGCGGCCCCGCGCAGCCCCCGCCTGCCGGCCAAGCTGGCGGCCGAGAGCCGGAGCCTCCTGCGGGCCGCGACGCGCCACGTGATCCAGATCGAGAGCGCGGAGGACTGGCCCGAGGAGGCCCTCGCCGACCCCCCGGCCCGGGGCGCCCCGAACCCGCCCTCGGTGCCCAAGGCGCAGACGTCCTACGGCTTCGCCGCGCTGGCCGAGAGCCCGCACACGCGGCGCCGGGAGTCCCTGTTCCACAGCGAGCACGGGGCGCTGGCCCAGGTGGGCTCCCCGGGCGCCGCGCGCCGCCGGGCACCTGCCAAGACCAACGGGGGCCCCGGGGAGGCCGGCGGGAGCCTCATGAGCCCGAGCCGCGGCCTCAGCGGCGGCGAGAGCGACACGGGGTCCTCGGCCGAGTCCTCTCCCTTCGGGTCCCCGCTGCTGTCGCGCTCGGTGTCGCTGCTCAGGGGCTTCGCCCAGGACGGCCAGGCCAAGGTGAGCCAGCTCCGCAAGTCGGTGGGCCGCCACGGCTCCCTGTCGGCGGACGACAGCACCCCGGACACCAGCCCCGGGAGCCGGCGCCGCCTGACCCGCCGGGCACCCCCGGAGCCCGGCCCCGAGTCGGGCCCGGCCGCGCGCGGCGAGCACACGGTCCCCCTGGGCCCCCGGGGCAGCGTGCGGCTGCTGGCCGAGTACCAGGCCGGCCAGGCCCGCCTGCGGGTGCGCCTGCTGGCCGCCGAGGGCCTGTACGACCGCCTGTGCGACGCGCGCGCCATCAACTGCTGCGTGGGGCTGAGCCTGGTGCCCGGGAAGCTGCAGAAGCAGCGCAGCACCATCGTCAAGCACAGCCGCCACCCCGTCTTCAACGAGGACTTCTTCTTCGACGGGCTGGGCCCGGCCAGCGTCCGCAAGCTGGCCCTGAGGATCAAGGTGGTGAACAAGGGCAGCAGCCTCAAGCGGGACACGCTGCTGGGGGAGAAGGAGCTGCCCCTGACCGCCCTGCTGCCCTTGCTGTAGAGGGGGGCGCGCTCGTGGCCCGCTCAGCTGGGGGGTGTGCGCCCAGGGGAGACCCGTCTCTCTCCTCCACGCCGGGCGGGGAGGGGCCCACACTCATGCGGGGCGGACGCGGGGCTTCCTGGCTCGCAGATGCGGAGCAGAGTGTTATTTTTCGTGAATTAATTTATTCTTTGGAGAAGGAGGGGGAGGAGGAGGAGAGGGGCTGCGGGGGAAGAGGAAGGGCTGCTTCACAGGGCTGAGGGTCCCCCTTGGCCCGGCAACACCGCCTGGCCCCCTTCACGCAGAGTTCCAGAAGGAGGTTCTTGGGGGTCCAGGAACACGTGCGTGTGGCAGGGGCACGGCCATGGACAGAGAGGCCACAAGTCCTGGCGCCTGTGGTCCCCCCACGGCGCACGTGTACTCCTCCCCCACAGCCTGCCTCTGTCCGCTTCCCACCCCACTGCCCAGTTCCCACCCGGTTGTCC